ATCTTCGCTTTGATTGATCATCGATCCCAGTGTGCTTCAAGGTTGGCTTATTCGAGGATTCTCTCGCCGAGTATACCAAAACTTGGTTTGAGTTCTTGACAGTTGATTGACGTCCAGATTCAAGCCTGATTGTGAAATCGATCCCCAAGTGGGGAGGCCAAATGCTGCCAAAATTTGTCAATCTGATTTTTTTGACTTAGTATTTCCTACGGCATTTCCATCCCTCATCCCTTCTTCGCCTCTATGACCCTCTCACATCAGCCCAATGCAACTTTGAGTCCAGTTTGCCGATTTTCTCATTGAAGATTACACCAAGCAGTCAGTATAGATCGATTTCAATCCCCTGCCAGTTGGTCGACATCCAGTATCGAGCCGGACTGTGAAGTCGATCCCCAAGAGGGGAGGCCAAATGCTGCCAAAACCTCTCGGGACTTTGACTTGATGATCCCCACGCCATTTCCAATCTCCCTCCCATCTTCTTCTCTACCTCCCTCCTATATCGGCTCTTGTCACCTGGATGCTCCAAGTTAAGTTTTTAGTTCTACTCATCGATTATATACTAAGCTTTCAGAGGAGCCTGGTTTGATTCCCTCGCCAGATGTTTGACGTCCAGAGTCGTGCCTGATTCAGAAATCGATCCCCAAGAGGCGAGGCCAAATGCTTGAATTTTACTCAGTAACTCCGTCGACAATTCCATTATCCCTCCCATCTGTGCCCTACCATCAGCTCATTACGATTCAGATCCCAAGCCGCGCCCAGGTGGTTCGCAGTATTGATCCCAATTACTCCTAACACGATCTTAATCGCACTCTAATATTCATACCCACTCTGATCCATTTGGCCACCTTCCAATATCACCCGATCTGACACAGAGCAATAAGAGTGGACGATCCTGACGGAATTAGTGCAGACTGATCAGCCAGAGAAGGAAATGGCTTCTACCTCTCAAAACTTGGGTGCACCCAATCAAAGCATGGGGGACAAAGGCACATGCGTGATAGACAATGAGGCACTCAAATTCCTGATAGACAAGACAAAGGTACAAGGGATACAAACCACGGAGACCCAGAAAATCGATGGCAAAGAAGAATAAGTTATTGTATGGAAGTATCCGGAAGAGAAGGTGGCAGAGTTGGATGAACTGCATGAGAGACATGGGGTAGTTTTTAACTTCGCACGCAGCGGAGCAGAACTACAACCAGCAGAAAAACGCAAATGGGTCATCGAGACAATCAGAAAAGAACTGAAATTGAAACAATCGGAAGAGACATTTACGCTGCAAACTTTGGGAAGGAACAATATCCTCGTGTTGTTTGTCAAAGAAGTACAGGCGAAAGCGTCAGTGGAGATGCAGTCCAGGAACTGCAATGGCTCGGTCTGCACGATCACTAAGTGGAAGAAGGTGGTCGGGCAGAGACAAAACCCGGTCTTTGCAATCTTCTACAAACAGACCCTACTAAAAGAAAACTTCTCAACCGGGCTTCCATGGACTGCTGGTAGATCAACTAGAAAGACAGTACCGAGCGAACAGGATCTTTAAGTGGATCTTGCCCACGCCGGATTTTCTGGCCCCGCACTGCGGATCCATGACAGCAGTGTTGGAGGTTAAAACAGATAACCCCCCAATCTTCCCCCTAACATGGAAACTGCAGATCGAAAACAGAGTCGTGGAGGTCCGAGTCTCAACCAAGACGTCTCCAATCTGCTTCCGCTGCAGAGAGAGGGGGCACATGGGCACAGATCCCAATTGTCCGAAATTTCCCAAGCAGATGAAGGAACGTAAACTCCTCCCCAACATGCTGTGCGAGGTGGAGGATGCCCYGGGAATCTGGTTCATTGCGGACAGTAACYACAACGGKTGGGTATTTGACGACAACCTGGAAAAACCGGACTGGGTGTGGCATTACGCAGACCTGGAACCAACTGTCAAGAAACCAGACATCTTCCCACCGGCAGATAGTAGATGGCAGAAGAAAGCCACGGGGAAGGTTACAGGCAACCCAACCAAGATCAAATCTGACCCACTGATAGACTCGCGAGTCATCAGAGAGGAGAAGGACAGAGAGGATCTTCTGTGGGATCTGGATACGGTCAGGGAGAATGCAGTCCTGCATTTCTCTCAGGAACCAAACGCTTTCCGGAACTGGTTGAGAAATCTAGAACAAGCAATGGGTAATATGAAGAAAGGAACACAGACGGACAACAAAAGAACACTAGACACATCAGGGAATAAACAGAACCAGGAAGGTGGGCTCAAAAGGAGGAGGGCGACAAACGACGGGGGAAGTAAGGGAACACCCTCACCTCCACCTGAGAGCGATGAGAAGGGCAAGACCACAAAGGCAAACGCAACGGACTTGGATCAGGTTGGGGAGGGGAGCAGCACAGGGGGAAAGTCCCCAAAAGAYAGCGGAGATRATGYGCCTYAGTCGTTGSAATGGCTCARMGAGTATGTGGAGAAGATCAAAAGGRAGAGGGAAMATGCTTTTGATATTCGGGCGGCKTGCCTGAAACATGCTGAGAGATCACAGACGAGCGGTAAGAAAGGTGTGTTGGGCGGGGTAGGCACATCTAACAACCAGTTTGACGCTCTCAGGAAGATCAAAGTTGAGGAATTGTCAGAATACACAGCTTTCAGATATGCTGAGAAGAAGAGAGCAAGGGAACAGGGCTTGAAAGACAAAGACAGAACCGTGCCTGAATCGAAAGATGAATTTCAGGATTTACGCCCGAAAAAATGGACACAGCACAAACAGAAACCCTGTCTCTTATACACATCTAGATGTGTATAAGAGACAGGAACAGGGCTTGAAAGACAAAGACAGAACCTGTCTCTTATACACATCTAGATGTGTATAAGAGACAGCTCTCAGGAAGATCAAAGTTGAGGAATTGTCCGAATACACAGCTTTCAGATATGTTGAGAAGAAGAGAGCAAGGGAACAGGGCTTGAAAGACAAAGACAGAACCGTGCCTGAATCGAAAGATGAATTTCAGGATTTACGCCCGAAAAAATGGAGATCAGGAAAGAGCCAGAAAAAAAAGATTCCAGACACAGCACAAACAGAAACCCTCGAGGAATCGGGGCGGACGTGGTTGGAAAAAGAAGCAGCAGCAGTCCTGGCTCAAACTGACAAACTAAAAAAATTGAATGATGAGTATGCCTCAGAGTTTGTCACGATCTCACACATCGCAAGGGACCAGGCACCATTGGTAGTGGAAACAACCCTTTCCTCTCGTTTGACACTGATGAACATTAGACCTTTGATCGCAGCAAGGTACATGGAGAAGCTGGAAGAGTGGCAGGTAGCGACAGATGTTTCCTTCCAGATTCCCCGCTTCGAGGAAGGCCAAAATGTGGCGGTAGTGCTTCGAGAAAAGGTTACCTCAGACTACCCGTTGGGGGCCTATGATACAGTGGAAGCGACGCCTGCTCCGGAGACCCCGCAGCAGCTCACAGGTGAAGAAGACACACGATCGCAGCAATCAGACCAACGGAGACAATCTCCCCAAGCCTTTTCACCCTTGATTGTAAAGCTGGCAATGACAGCCAGCTTGAAATCAGGGATGAAGTGGAGACCTTGGCGGACATTGACAGCAGTGCCGTACAGCATCCTAGCAGGCTCTTGTTTACCGGCTGAACTAACTGTAGTGTCGGTGGCCCAGCTTGTCAAATCAGGCATGTTGGAGGGAGATGGTGATTTGGATGCGGTGGCCTTCCCACTCGACTGGGATAGTTTTTACAGGAGAGAGGACTCAGAAAATGATCAAAGGGGCTGGCAATCGGATGTGGAAAGTGAAGAGGAGAGGCACGGAAAAGTGATGGGCGAGACGGATGAGGAGAAAGAGGGAACCTCAAGTACAACGGACCAAGGAATGAACGTTGATAGAGAGGCAAGACCGAACATAGAGGAAGGGGGACAGGGAGTGGACCACATGGGGGAGGATACGGGGGGTGATACACTTGCATAGACTCTCTCCTGTATGCATGATCAGGGTCTGGTAGAATGCAGCCCGAGATGGATGAGATCAGGAAAAGGGCGAATGAGAGGAGAGCAGTAGAGGACCGTTGCGTCCAAGGGATTATTATTAGGAGCTGGAATATCAACGGTTTGGGGAATGTCCTAGACAAGGAGGAAAAATGGAGCGACATCCTCAGCGGACTGAAGGCGAACAGCAAAACAATAGCGGATATAATTCTGTTGCAAGAAACACATCTATCCTTCTCCCTAGAGCACGACCGGATCCGTAAGGTTATTGCAAAAAAGATGGGAGGTATTAGGGATGAAATCTGGGCAGCAGACGCTAACTCAAATACGAAAGGTGTAGCTATTTTGATCCCCAAGTTGTCTCGATTTTACACAAAAGGTTGTGTCTTGAATAAGCAGGCAGACCTCCACGAAGGTAGATGGTGTACAATGCATCTTAAGTGGAAAGAAGAAGAATTCTACCTTTACAATGTCTATGCTCCAAATGAAGCAACTCAAAGAACGTCATTCATAGAGAGTCAGAACAATGCTATATCGCCTTTAGTGTCGTGTATTCTGGCAGGGGATTGGAATGCTACCCTTGACCTAGGAGTAGACCGCATTTCACGGTCTTCTCATACACCCAACGCACAGGAGGCCCGCCCAATTCAAAACCTGATGATTGACCAAGGTTTAGTCGATCCATTTATGTCCCTGCATCCTACAGAGAGATCCTTCACCCTAGTTAAGAAGAACCATGCTTGTCACACTGCATTTTGACGGATAGATTATTTCTTAGTGTCGAGTTCTATCATGGGGGCGGTGAAAGAGGCGAAGATCCTACCCTTGGCTCCCTATCCAGGTCTGGATCACAAGCCTATTGAGCTCACTATTGGATTCGAACAACAAGTGAGAAAAGGTTTTGGGTTTCACAAATTAAACAATTCATTACTGCACAGTCATACTTTCCAAGAAGGTATACAAGAATTCTGGAGGGGTAGGAATATGAGTTTTTTACCCAACCAGAGCCGCTGGGAGTGGTTTGTGGAGAGCTATTCCTCACTTGCAAAGACATCTGCAGAAATGTCGAGAAAGTTGGCTTCCATAAGAAAACAAAGGAAACGCAGACTGGAACAAGCACTAACGATAGCGGAACTTAATTTAAGAGATGATCCTTCCTCGCCGCTACACAATGAGATATTTGAGAAAGCTCGCGAGGAACTCGCAATGTGGAGATGGTGGGAGCTAAAAGGTTTGCAGACAAGAGCCAGAATGTGTGACCACGAACTCAACGAGTCGATGACGAAACACTTTTTTGCCCGAATCAAGGCAAATACGAGAGCAGCCACGATAGACAAGATGAAAACCCTCTCCAATCCAACAAGGATAGTGAAAACTAGTGAAGAAATCATGGTAGTAGCTAAAGAATTCTATCAGGATCTTTATCACACAAGGACCCAATTTCCTACCTCGAGTGCTATTTTGGGAGCGCGACAGCGGATGCTACAATACCTGGAACAAACAATCTCAGTGGAGCAAGCAAAAGAAATGGACAAACCCTTCACAAAAGAAGAGCTATGGGAGACCCTCAAAAGCATGAATAACGATAAGGCACCTGGTATTGATGGGTTAACGAAAGAATTCTGGGAAAATTTCTGGCCAAGTCTAGGGGGGGATCTCTTGAACTTTTACCAGGATAGTTTTGAGAGAGGCGGTCTGGGAAGTTTAATCAGCAACAGTGTGGTTACGCTGCTGTATAAAAAAGGAGACAGGGAAAACATCAGGAATTACAGACCTATCTCCTTACTCACATTGCCATATAAAATTTTGGCCAAAACCTTGTCTGCTAGAATCACGAGAATAACAGATAAGTGCTTCCACATTGACCAAACTGGCTTCATTCCGGGTCGATACATATTGGATAATGTATTGAGGCTGAATGAAGCGACCAACAAGGCTAGAGAAAAAAAAATAAACACAGCGATATTGTTCTTTGACTTTGAAAAGGCGTATGACCAAGTTAACTGGGATTTTATGGATGCTAGTATGGAACGCATGGGAATGGGTCCAAGCTTTAGAAAATGGGTCAAAATCTTGTACAGTGACGCTTCTGGCTGTGTACAAATCAATAATTTCATTTCCGATAGCTATAAGATATCACGCTCGGTTAGGCAAGGGGATCCGCTTGCTCCCTCGATCTTCTTATTTGTGATGGAAGCCATTGCCTCCTTCCTTCGAAAGGATCCATCGATACACAGACTTCCGGAGGTCAATGTAGGAACGCCCCACCACCTCAAGTTCCCGACAGTAATAAATGTTTGCAGATGACATGACGGTCCTGATCAGAGCATCAGATTCGTCCTTTATGGCGCTTTCTAGAGCAATGGAAGCATTCAGGCTGGCGTCAGAAATGAAAATCAACTGGAAAAAAACCATAGGCTGGTGGCTCTCGGAGGATCCTATTCCTAACCTGCAAGGCCCGGAGGCAGACATGACTTGGGACACGCCGGACACCCCCACGCGATACCTAGGTATCCTCATGACACGAAGGGGTCTGGCGCCGCAAATGGGCCCAAACATGCTAGCTAAACAGCTCAACAAGCTAGCGAGATGGGGGCACACGTGCACCTCAATGATGGGTCGGGCGTTGGCCCTTAACACGTCCGTATTTTCCATGATGTGGTATATTGCTGCGGTATGGACCATTCCGGATGAATCACTAAAAGAACTAAACCAGGTAGCAAGAGCATATCTATGGACGGGTAACACCAATAGAGGGAACTGTATTCCCAAAATAGCCTGGCAATACATTACAAGGAAACCAGTTCAAGGGGGACTGGGGATTATCGACCCGAAATGTGAGACGAAAGCTCTCCAAGTTAAATGGATCGTCTGCTTGCTAACGAAACCAGAAACCGCATGGAACAATCTGGCCTTGGACAGTATAAGGGAGTTGGCCCCGGTCCCAACGCCAAACAACATGACTGGTCTCTTCTGGGTAATGAACAAAGAATGGTCGCTGAAAAAAGGGAGAAGGAGAACTAGAGGGGAAATAACACAGAACGCAGATATCCACCACTCGCCTTACTGGGCAGCTCTCATCCGGCTTTGGAGGGCTATTATGCCTAAGAAATACAGCAGACCTAAATCCAAGGACGAAATATTGAGGCAACCACTGTTTGGCAATGAGTGGATCAGGAGTGAAAGTGATGAACCTCTCTTCCTAAATCCCAGGTGGCTCTCATGGGTAAAGAATGGAGTTTGGACAATTGGACACCTGTGGAACGACGATGCTAAGGACTGGATATCTGAGCAAGAGTTGAGTACTCGGCTCAAGGGGTGCCACAGGAGAGGCCCCAATCTACAGTACATAACAGGGCTGGTTCCACCAGAGTGGGAAGTGGTATTAAAACAGGGCAGGGAATGGTGTAGTGGAGAGTTGGGGGTTAAAATCCAAGAAAGCAATCCCGCTAGAGCTTTTCAGCTCTCACATTTTCAACAAGGTTCGACCACCCAAGCGATTTTCACATCCTTCCCTATCAGCTACACAGCGAAGGGTATGCCTTCGATCGTGAACGCTKATGTAGAAACCGCAATCATGGAGCACTTCCTGCTCAGGAAAGTGAGAGTGCTAGGTGAGTGGCCTAAATGTATCTTCAGAATCGACACAGCCATTCGAGACTTGGAGTTTGACCCGGGGGAGTGGGCATGGAAACCGGACAAGGAGAAGAATATTAAGAAGCGTACTTTCATACAGGAATACACGGTCAAATTAGGGTACAAACTTATGCTGAAAACGAAAAATCCTGAACCCGTCATCAAAGCAAGATGGTTAAAACTATTAGGCCAAGAGGCGGATAAAATAACGAGGATCCCGTGGAAGGCATATAAGACGAYCAGACCAGTCAAAATCAGAAGCCTTCAGTGGCTAATCACTTACGCAGCGCTACCAGTCAATCAATGGTTACACATCAGGAGGAAGGAGACTGTGCCGGATAGTTCTGACCTCTGTAAAGTGTGCACAGATAATGCAGTAGAAGATATAGTACACTGCCTAATACACTGCAAGGAAGCAACACACTACTGGGCGATAGCATCCACACTTTGGAATTCCCTCTTTATTTCTCCGTTCCCTGAGAAACCCACCCAGCTTCTCCTACTAATTGACATCCCTAAGTGGCCATGGAAAGCAGAAAAGATCTGGTACGAGCTCATCAGGAAGACCTCACTCTGGATCATATGGAAAGAGAGATGCAGCAGAACAATTGAGAATGCTTCAAACGCGCGGGAGAAAGTCTGGGCGGAGACAAAGGCTCTGATACAGGCGGAAATTCTATGCAGATGGAAGAAGATCAAGAGTTCATGGACAGACGATGAAGAGCAGCGGAAGAAGGCTAGAAGTAAGTTCATCAGGACGTGGTTGATAGGGGGGAAAATTGCCGAGCTGCGGGATGATCGGATCCGTTGGAAAGAGTGGCACAATTCCGCTTCAACAAGGTATCCGGAACAGCGAAGTACAACATCAGAACGTGGAGTCCCCGAGCCAGAATCCAACTGAGACAGATCTGCTCTCGGATCAATACTTTGAGAATACAACAGGGGTTTTGGAAGCTTGAAGGTAACGTATACGAGCAGGGGGTAGAGGGGTCAACGCAAGGAGGTTCTGGACGAGCATCAGGGTAAAGGACGATGATCAGGAAAGGTACCTAAAGGAAAGACTGAGACCAGCGTTTGGAGTATACAATGAACCTCCCAAACCAGTGAAAGAGAGAGCGAACGGAGGAGAGGCCCTTCGAAGGACAGTATCGAAGGACAGCATCGAAGGACTGAGGTTTTAGGGCTTACGAAGAAATGGAAATTTATTCAAGGGACTGGAAGATTAATTGAGAAGGAAACAGGTCGGTAAGGTTTAATGGAGGGACTCTTTCTAGGATTACTGA